ATTGTTTCTTGTTTTAAAAAAAAATTTAAAAAGAACCCCACAGAAAAAGGTTCTCCCATACATTCACTTCCATACATTCACTCCCATACATTCACTCCCATACATTCACTCCAATACATTCACTCCCATACATTCACTTCCATACATTCACTCCCATACATTCACTCCAATACATTCACTCCCATACATTCACCCCCATACATTCACCCCCATACATTCCCCCCCATACATTCACCCCCATACATTCACCCCATACATTCACCCCCATACATTCACCCCCATACATTCACCCCCATACATTCACTCCCATACATTCACCCCCAAAATTAGCTCCCATACATTCACTCCCATACATTCACCCCCAAAATTAGCTCCCATCCATTCGCTCCCATCCATTCGCTCCCAAACATTCGCTCCCATACATTCGCTCCCCAAAATTCGCTCCCTTCCATTCGCTACCAAACATTAGCTCCCAAACATTCGCTCCCATCCATTCGCTCCCATCCATTCGCTCCCAAACATTCGCTCCCATACATTCGCTCCCATACATTCTCTCCCAACGGAGCATAATCCACAATACTTTTCCATCGGTCCCTGGGCCATCTTTGCTAGTTCAGCCCAACTGTTCTTCTTTCTCTTCACCTCTACCTCTAATCCCCTCTTCCATGAATGTGGCTAGGGGGTCTTCCTCTTTTACTGGCCCCTTGAGGGTTCCATTTCAGGGCCTGTCTTGAGATGTTAGTGTTTGGTTTCCTTAATGCGTGCCCTATCCATCTACAGTTTCTCTTTCGTAGCTCCGTTTCCACAGGAACACTTGATGTTCTGTCCCAAATGACTGTGTTACAAATTTGGTAAAACATCTTGTTTTGAGGATCCTGCGCAAGTATCTGTTTATAAAAATATGCAGCTTTTTAATGTTTGTTTTTTGTTTTTCTCCAAGTGTCAAAGACATGCAGAACAAGTACCTTGACATTAGAGGTGAATATTTTTAACTCTGTTTTTTTTTTTTGGTCAGTATTTCACTTGAGTTCCAGATATTTGGCTATTGAATGCTCATCTGACTTTTTGGACCCTAGACTTTATGTCATCTGTCCCACCATTTTTTTATTTATGATGCTGCCCAGGTATGTAAAAGTTTCAAACTCTTCAAGAGACGCTCCTCTCAAGTTCATCCCAATCACTCCATCATCCACTTCATTTAGTCTTATATTCTTGGTTTTCTCCTATTTATGCTTAAAGCCTTGGTTTTCTCTTTATTTATGCTAAGTCCATCTTGCTGCAATACTTAGTCAAGTTTTGTTGTTTTTATGGCTATGTCATAAAAGTGCAATGTCATCTGCAAAATCCGTATCCTCCAACAGCATGACATGTATCCACTGGATTCCATTTTTCCAATCATGTGTTGTTTCTCTCATGATCCAGTCAATGGGTAAAAAAAAAAAAAGAGGAATTGTGAGAGCAGGGATCTCTTTCGGGCCTAAGATTCTATTATAAATGGGTTTGGAAGTCCACCTTCTTACTCACCCTGAAACCGACATGTTTAAACGTGTTTATCATTAAGCCGGTTAGCTTTTGGGGAATACCGTGTCTTAGTAGTTTTCAGAGTGTATCTCTTTCCAAGCTGTCAAATGCGTTTTCGAAGTCGACAAAATTAAGGTACAACGATGTATTCCACTTCAAGCACTGTTCCATGATTATGCGCATGGTGCGATTTGGTCAGCTCACATGCATTGGCTTTATGTAATATCTGAATGCAGAAGTAAACAATTTTCTTTTCTTCTTTACTCATTTTAAAATCTTAATACAGACTGCGAAATCTAGATGCTAACAATCAGATAAAAAATAATAATAAAAAAAAAACAAGGGGTCAATGATCCCCTTTTCCTCTACAAAGCTCACAGTCTTTCCCAATTTGTTTTGAGAGTTCCCAATATTTTTTGATGAATAAAATTTTTTTAAAATGATAATCACACCAATGACCCCCCCCCCCTTTTCCCAAAGACCACATCAATGACCCGGCCTATGGCTATGTCTATGACCCGGTCTATGACCACGTCTATGACCCCATCTATGACCTCGTCTATGACTTTGTCAATGACCCCGTCAATCTCTTGTTTTAAGTTATGGCTCGTTCACACAGTGCACAACAAAGGACGATACCATAGAGAAATACTATAATAAAGATACGACACGCAAAAAAAGTTGCCAATTACAATTAGTAGGATTTAATTTAGTAATAAGACACTTACAAAATAGAAGAAATATCATTACAAATCATCAACTTACAGTATGGTAGATCTTGTACCGGTACACAGTTAACACAGTTAGTACAATCTGCCAATTAATAATGATGAATGATCAATGCGAATAAACACATATAAGTACACAAAGAATAATACACGTCTCGTGAAGTTAAAAATATCTATCAATCTCCGTCCTCTGTCTGTGTCTGTCAATCCTTTATATATGTGGGTCTACCGACAAGTCTAGAAACGCCCTTACTTTTCTAATACAATCGAGAACGTTCCATAAGATAATAGTAGATATACTAACCATGTTTAATTGGTGGTCGGTAGTAAACAAGATACATCAAACAGATTTAACCACACCCACAACAAACATTACTGTTTGCTAGGAATCTAATGCGGGTCAAAGGAAGTTCACGCACGGGGAAAAAGTGTATTACATAACAGTCTGCAAGAAAAGCGCTGTCACTTGGTGGAACATGATATTGAAAAAGCGCTTCTAAAATCGGACCAATACGGAAATTCGGTAGAGAGAAGATGAAGGTGAGGAGAATGTCAAGAGAGCAATTAATAGACCCTGGACTCTCCTTGCGAGAATAAAATAGTATTGGATTGATGGAGTGTATTACCACTTCCATTCTTAATCCCTGATCAGATCATCAGCGATCAAGGAAGTAGCAGATATGTTTGGGGCTGTTCAACCCAAGAGTCTACTATCAGCAAGTGAAGAAGATTTATTGGTGTCCGTTCCAAAATTAACCTCTTTCTATGATTAGTTATCAAAAGAGAATCTTTTAGAAGAAATACCAAGGCTTAGAAGACACCTTAAGGCAGCTGATATTGAATTTCACAAAGTCATGGACTGGTCAGTTTTTTGCTAGTTTGAAATTCATAGCTCTATGGGACTTCCTAGAATATCTTCCAATACTCTCACTAAGCCTTCAATTGTTTCTTACAATCTGTGTGTCTGTGGCTTCATGTGAGCGGAGATTTTCAAAACTAAGGCTTATCAAGAACTAATTATGATCAACCACGGGATAGATCTGGCTCTAATATTAATTGAAAGTGATTTGGTGAAAATATTGATTTTGATCAAATGATTGACATAATATTTGCAGTTCTGAAGACCAGGAAAGGAGAATTTTAAATATGGTTAATTTAATGTAAAAATAACTATAACTAAACGTTGTTACTTTTTAAAATACATTTATCTCCTGGCCTCCAATTAATATCTTTTTTTCTTGTCTTTGTTATACTGTACACTTATTTTAAAAAAAAACGAAATTAGTCGTGGCACTCGGGGGAAGTGGGGTGACACCATGAGTTGTCCGCACCGGGTGACACCAACCCAGCTTCGCCACTGTGTCAAGTCATGGATGACACTCAGCAAGTTGAAGCTTAATGATGACAAAACGGAAGCACTCCTCATTCACATTCACACATCATTCTCTACCTCAACTCTTCTCACCTCATTTCAAGTAGGTAACTCAGACATACTGTTTACACCCTCTACTAGGAATCTTGGTTATATTCTTTCTAACACATATTTCTCACATTTGTCGTTCGTCATACACCGCTATCCGTCAGATCAGCTCCATCTGCCACTACCTCACAGTTAGCGCTACAAAAACTCTAGTCTGTTTTCTTGTTCTCTCTCGTCTTGACTATTGCAACTCTCTTCTGTCAGGTTCACCAAAACACTGCATACAAAACTGCAGAAAGTCCAAAACTCAGCTGCTAGGCTAGTTCTAAAGGCAAAATAACGTGATCATGTCACTCCACTACTCCACTCCATTCATTGGTTCACTATGCTGGCACGCATTGACTACAAGTTGTCTATTCTCTGTTACAACTTTTTCTCGGATTCCTACCCTTCCTATCTAACCGAACTTCTTTCTGTCTATTCACCCTTCGACAGCTTCGCTCCTTCGCAGACACACGTATTCTGTCCATTCCCAAGACACACACTAAAACATATGGTGAACGATCTTTCTCTTTCTGCGCCCCAAAACAATGGGATTCTTTACCACTATACATCCGCAATATACCAACCACCCAGGCATTCAAAATTGCACTCAAAACACATCTCTTTAAACCATACTACCCTGACTGATTCCCCTCCTCTGACCGATAAATGATCTTGTTGGCTGCCGTCTATGGTTTGCCTTGTAAAAGTCCTGGAGTTCTTTCTGTTCTTTATTTCATAATTGTATTTTATTTTAATGTCATGAATATGTCTCATTTGATAAAATTTGTATGTACAGTGCGGTGAGCCCAACCCTAGGCTGGGGTACCGCGCTATAAAAGACCACTAATTATTATTACTTGTATTATGTTAAAAGATTCAAGTATATAAATACTTAAACATTTAATTATGTAATATACTATCATTAGAAGTCTTGCAAACTTGCAGACTTGTTGAGGGGGTGGGGTTTGAACATGGGGGCGTTCAAGGTGAGAGTATGGTCCCAAGGGGGGCGGTTTCCGGAATAAGTTGAGAACCACTGGTCTACTCTATCCCTTACTACCCTGTTCTATTCATTCTTTCTACCTTTTAAGATTTTAAGTACATAATTATTTAAGTATAATAAAAATAAATTATATCTTTACCAAATGTAGAATCTTGGACTTAAATCAATTATTATTATATTTTTGAAAACATCTCCAGGCATTTTAATTTTTTTTTTTAGCCTACAAATAAAATTAGGGGGCGGATATACTTTTCGTTACACCGTATCCTGTCGCGAGTTCTTCACATGAGTGATGTCCCTTGGATTAATGTTGTGATGGCGAAGTCAACCAAAGAAGAAGCAGAACTTTTAGTTTTGGTTTGTTATTTCATATTCATACACTATTATAAAAGAGGGTAATCTACCACTTGAGCGTCGGCCAAGAAGAAATCCAGCTCTTCCGGTTGGAAGGGCTATTTAAACAACTATCCTTATTTTATTTTTATTGACATTTGTCATTTGTTTTACGTATTAATTCCCATGCCCATAATAATAGACACTTCTAAAAAAAAAAAAATTAAAATAGAAAAAACTATAACAATTTTTTTGAAATAGAAGATAATGTGTAAAAATGGATTTATGCATAGTTCTCCCCCAAGTTGACAATGAAGTTTAAAAAAATATAATTCCCACGGTTGTGGGACATGAATCCATGTAAATATGAAGGGGAAAGATCACTGGCGCTTCTTGTGCCATACTGTCTTTTCAGTCTTTTCATTTTACGCTTTCTGAGCATTCATGTTTTCCACACTCTGTGTGTGGACATCCGCGTTATCTGGATAAAAAATATTATTTGTTGTTTCTTTTTCTTCCTGGCATATTGGTAGCTTGGCAGTAATAATTATTTAAATGTATTAGTATTGTGCTATAGGCTATATAACTTTATAGCCTCTATATGGAAGCAAAAATATGAACAGACTCCAATGTAAGAATAGTTGTTTAAATAGCCCTTCCAACCGGAACAACTGGATTTTTTCTTGGCCCATGATCAAGTAGTAGATTACCTAAAAGAGTATACCCTAATAGTCTCTCAAATTTTTATCAGAAAACATTGATTTAGAATTAAAAGTAAAACTCACAATTTTATAATGGGAGTGGCTTAGTCAATTGTTTTGTCACATGATGAGAGTAAATACGAGTAAGACTTCCGGGAAGCTGTATGCAACACACTAGTGCTTGACAACTGTAGCCCGTTACTACAACTAGTAATTCAAGATGCCTAGGCAATGTTCGGCTTTTGGCTGTTCAAACAGTAAAGTTAAGGACAGCGGTATAAGTCTGCATAAGTTTCCGCTTAAGGATAAAGAAAAATTTAAGACAATGGCTTGACAAAGTGGATTTTCGTTAATTATTCACATGAAATCGTGTTCCAACCGGTAATATAATATTCCTTCGCCGCACAAATATTGAATAAACACGCAAATGACGACATGGATATGCTGACATTTCGTCCAATGAAAATTAACAATAAAATAAACAAAGGGGAATGACTCCTGCACAAATATTGAATAAACACGCAAATGACATCATGGGCACACACGGAGCTCAACAGCCTGCCGATGATAGTTCCCATCGAATATCGATCACAAATTTTTCTTGAAAAGCTTTCTTCCTTTGATCATAACTGACGTATATTTATTGTCACATTTATGTACTTCATTTAAAAAACATGTGTATTCCAGAATATTTTGAAAGGTACAATTTTTAAGTAACATGATATTGAGAAAGCACTGATGAAGACGAACATTTTTCTTAAAAGTTAATGGCAGATCAGCTGCTTTCTATTGTTGTGTGTAGCAGCCTAGTGATGGCTTACTCTCATCACGTGACCAAACAAGGAATTACTAAGCGACTCCCATTAAGCAACAGCCCTAGACTAGACTAGAATTAGAAGACTCAAAACTTTAAAACCAAAAAAAATAAAATAATTTCAGCCAGTCTTAACTGACTTAACTCAGTCTATTAATTTAATTAATAATTGCGTTGCCAATGTCGCAACTTTATTGTATATTGTATCCCTCTAGATATTTGACAAGAAGTCTCACCGACCTGCAGTCACTCCCACCTTAAAGTAAAATATGTGTACCACAGTTACACACTCAAAAAATTGTAAAAATGATGAAAAACAAGTCAAATTTTTAAAAAAATAATAAAAACCCAAGTTACAGTTTCACAGTATACACTTTTACAGTGTATTACACACTTATTGCAGGTTCCATCAAACATAAAATCCAAACAGTGTCAGAAAAAATAATTACCCATTCCATGATACCGGAAAAATTTAGTCTCATTTTAAATATTGTTTAAAATATTATAATTAATCACCCATTGAAATATTAATTTACAACATTTCATCATATTAATATTCTAAAAAAAAGAAAAATTAACTCAAGTAACATTCCAAGAATAAACTATAAACAAAAGGGAGAGAATCCTATACAGAAACTCCAAGTGGCATTCTGAATCAACATAAGCCTAATGCTGTTAGTATTTATTATGTAATATCCCTGTACTGCAAACCTTAGTAAGGTTGAGTTTATTATAGTAGTATAGTATTTATAGTATACTATAGTCATCTCAAGGACTAGAGACTAGCCACTAGGCCCCCTCTCATAGAAGGCAGGAGGGGGAATAGGTTGCAGTTGGAGCATTTGGTCAGAGTCCAAGCCTCGTATTTTTAAATTAAGAGTTCTCACATTTACTTATGGCAATATTGACTAGGTTAAATCATTAATTATACTATTTTGTAATAGGGCTTGTCATTTAATGGTGGAAATCTATTAATAGAACTGATGTCATCATTACTGACTATCTGGATACACAGCGCTGACAAAATTTCAACACTGTTTAGTATTACTATGTTAGCGAAGTTTCCCTGAAACTTGTTTACAACTCTATTTTACGAAATATTTTACACATTTTTTTTTTACTTCCATTTTCTGAAATGGGACTTCATTGCGCATATGGCACACGTAACAGTAACTCCAGATACAAGGATCATCCGAACGATATGCTGAAACACACTATAAGCTGCCATGTTTTAAGCAATATTTGTCCGCTGACCTTCTAAAAATAGTACGCTATGACGTTTTACGGTCTGAGACATGACAAAGCCTATACAGAATTATACCTTGAGTGACATCATTTTCATTTACAGATAGAATTTAAGCTTTAATATAAAATGAAATTTGTTACCAACCAATTTCTGATATTAACATTTTGGTACAAGACTATCAATAAAAGTTGTGATTTAAACTGGGAAAGAATATCAAACCAACTGGGGCTATGCTGCTAAGCAGCAAGTTTAAACTGGGATTATCCCAGTCAAACTGGGGAGTGTAATAAACCTGACTAAATCACTACACTGAAGCCTATAGTAAGAGAACCCTAAAATAGGATAATTCTTCTTCTGTCCCATTTTTACACTTTATCGGGAGATATAGTTGACAATTGCTGCAAGGTGTGAGACCTGCTGGAGGTTCATGTTACAGCAGGGTGTCCCTAATACAGTAAATCCACTGATGGCGAGGTCTACCTCCGGTCATAAAACCGGAAAATATGATAATTATTATGCCTAATTACTAATAGTATTTATAGTTAGGAGCTTCTCTATATTAAATACTGTATGTTACGGCCTACATAAAGCAAACCACTTAAAATTCAAATCCTACAATTTTTGTCTGAAAAATCCCTAAATGTCATATCCATGTGTAAAGCAATCTGTCAATCTTGTTCCATAATAGTGCAATACGAATTAACAAAAGAAATAGTTATTTTCAATAAAATGTCAAAATCTTTTATATTATAATATTTAAAATGAACTGTGGCCATGCCGATACAACTATGCTTCTATCTCTTCTAAAGGGTGCTACTACATTACTTGTATAATGCCCAGATAATGATTCAGTCGCAAAATGCTAGTGGGCCACGGTGGGCCATAAGTCGCATAGGCATAGGCATTTGTATATATCACTTACTGGTGATAAAAAAATTCGTTCATAGGTATAATGCAAATCCCTGTTATTAAGTATCATTATTTTTTACAATAAATTTCTTACATTACACGGGGTAATATATGAATATATTATGTTAATTTGAACTTAATGACTTGAGTATGAAAATTGGTAAGTGAAAACTGGTATTACAAATTATTACCATTGTTTCTGTAAAACAGCCTAAATTTGTTGTGTAATTATCAAAGTATAGTGGTTGTTCCATTGCTTTGTCTAATCTTTTTGTTATTAAATATTTTTCTTAACAGAGAAATGAGCTGAGCTGGTTGTTAAGAGAAGAGGTTAATCCTGTTTTGCAAGATATTCGAGAAACCTTGCAGGTTAACGTTTATTTTAGTTACATATTATATTTAATTTTATTTCACCTGACCGAAGCTAATAATAGGAAAGCATTGTAATAAAGAGTGGTGTCAAGATAAGATAAGATTAATCCAAATAAATTGCAGTGATTTTTTTTTTATTATTACAATGTACATAACCATTTTCATCACATAAAAAGAATACACACTTTAAATACATTAATGTCCAATGTTAAGAGCAAAATAAAATTTGAAAAAATTTGCGGAGATTGATATTACATATTGAAAAAACAATCCCTATTAAATAATTATTAACTGTTTCCCTCTGATGTAAATAATATGATAGTAATAATATGATAGTAATAATATGATAGTAATAATATGATAGTAATAATATGATAGTAATAATATGATAGTAATAATATGATAGTAATAATATGATAGTAATAATATGATAGTAATAATATGATAGTTTTAAGTTTGCATTTGGATTTATAGTGTGGATTTATTTTCCAGGAATGCTATGACTGTCTGCCTTTCCATGGAACTGCAGGTAAATGACAAGTGCTTAATTGATATGTGCTCTTAGTTTCAAAGAAAAAGTTGCGCTCATACGTTAAGGAATTTATGTGATACAAGCAGGAAAGCACTGAACTTGAAAAGCTATAGCATAAATTTAAATGATAGGTAAATCTCAGGTTCCCATGGTGATCACAGTTTCACACGGTGGTCTTAGATTCACTGTTACACACTGCCTTCTATAGTGAGAAATTAATCTCTTGTTTATGGCTCATTCTAAACAGTGCATAACAAAGGACAATACCATATGAGAAATACAATAGCAAAAATATGACACTCAAAACAGTTGCTAATTACAATTAATAAGATTTATTTAAGTATCAATATAATTACAAAAATAAAAGAAATAAAATTAAAACTTTACAATTTACAACTTGCAGAGTATGGTAGGTCTTGTACCGGTACACAGTTGGTACAAATGTGCCAAAAAATAGGTGCAATGATGAATATGAATTAATACATATAAGTAAACACAAAATAACACACTCTTGTCTCGTGAAGTCAAAATCTCCTCTCAATATTGCTCTCTTCGCTTTTATAGTCGGCTCTACCAAAAATTTGGGGCGTATTCCGGATTGTACTAGTAACTAGAACATTCCACGATTTACTATAATTTTCTAAGGCCTTCGACTCAACCAAAACAGACGATAGATTAATTTGTGGTAAACAAGATCAAATGAAATAAGCCACACCCAATACGAACGCAGCGTCTGCTATTGATCTCAGCATGGGGGAAATATGACGTAAACACGTCCTACATAACATTTACATGGTGTTCTCAGTTTCACATGGTGATGTAAGATTTGCAAGGTGATCTCAGGTTCACGTGGCCATTTCAGGTTCACATGGTGATGACAGTTTTACAAGGGGTCTTAGATTCACATGGTTCACATCCTGATATGTAACAAGTACATCATAAATAGCTGATTGTGCTAAATTCAAAATTGATGTAACAAGTATGTCATTTTGATTATAACTAATGGCTGAGGCCAGCTACATACAATAAAAAAAAAAGACCAAAATATTTCAGTCAGCAGATTTTTAAGGTTTATGTTTCTTTTTGGCAATAATATGTGGACACTAGACTCAGCTGTTCAAAGGGTAATGCAATATGTGAACACAAGACTCAGCTGTTCAAAGGGTAATGCAACATGTGAACACAAGACTCAGCTGTTCAAAGGGTAATGCAATATGTGAACACAAGACTCAGCTGTTCAAAGGGTAACGCAATATGTGAACACAAGACTCAGCTGTTCAAAGGGTAACGCAATATGTGGACACAAGACTCAGCTGTTCAAAGGGTAACGCAATATGTGAACACAAGACTCAGCTGTTCAAAGGGTAACACAATATGTGGACACAAGACTTAGCTGTTCAAAGGGTAACACAATATGTGGACACAAGACTCAGCTGTTCAAAGTGTAACGCAATATGTGGACACAAGACTCAGCTGTTCAAAGGGTAATGCAATATGTGGACACAAGACTCAGCTGTTCAAAGTGTAACGCAATATGTGGACACAAGACTCAGCTGTTCAAAGTGTAATGCAATATGTGGACACAAGACTCAGCTGTTCAAAGGGTTTACACAATATGTGGACACAAGACTTAGCTGTTCAAAGGGTTTACACAATATGTGGACACAAGACTCAGCTGTTCAAAGGGTTTACACAATATGTGGACACAAGACTCAGCTGTTCAAAGGGTAACGCAATATGTGGACACAAGACTCAGCTGTTCAAAGGGTAACGCAATATATGATATGTATCTCTTTTTCTGTACGTTAGGTGTCGTTGAAATGTTTATGTCAAATTCACTTTTATTATCTACAGAGAAAAGTATACGACATGAAGAACTTGTGCCTCAAAAACTCATTTTGACCTGTCCAAAGTAAGAAATGAAATGTGATGTTTTATAAAGTGTGCAATAAAGTTAAAATCAAACTTCTTATTGCATATCATTTTTAAAATGTTTCTTTGATTCTATCTCCAGCGAAATAACCACTCTTTTCACTTACACCTCAGTGACAAAATTTTGTTTCCGGCCCTAGTTATTATTTTTATTTCCTTTTTATAACACTTTAAGAACATAAATTTGGCCTATGATGTTTTAAACTGTCGTAAGATCACAACAACCATTTATGAGCCTTCTTTTTCTTTACCAGTGGTACAAGTGCCATGAATCTGAAAAGCATGGTCACCCTGAGAGGAGACTGCGTAGAAGGAGCAGTGAGTGTTTTACATGTTAAATTTTTACTGTTTACAAAATTATTTTCACGGAGCTCGAATAAAATATTTTGACTATCATTAAATTTAAAAAAAAAAAATTCCTAATCATTTAAAGAAAGTGTAATGTTGGCCCTCCCACTGAGTTGATGACTCACTTCAGAAGATTAATCCATTGATTTAGGAAGTCATCTCCGGGAATGTAAACCTCAGTCATAAATAAAAAGGGCTGCCTTTATTTCACTCCTGGGAAACCTACATATCTGGCCATCAGTGCAATATGAAAAAAGCGCCCTCAATAGGGCTCAAGGGCTCAATGCCCCCCCCCCAAACCCACCCCCCTCTTCAAAATCGGAATGTCTCTACTTTTAATTCATTCTCTCCTTGCCCTCTCAATGAGCGTGCTCCTACAAAGAATCTGTCGTTTTTTTGTGTCCACCAAAGAGAGTAAGTACCTCTATAAAGGCAAGTGTGGTGGAGTGGGCTGTTTTATCACTGCCAACAATTCATCTAAAAACTGTACTAAAAACATATCTTTTTAAATTATACTACCCTGACTGATTCCCCTCATCTGACCGATAAATGATCTTGCTGGCTGCCGTCCATGGTTTGCCTTGTAAAAGTTATGTGGTGGGGTGGGTGAATATACATTGCTGTACTTTATTTCATAAATGTATGTTATTTTAATGTGTTGATTATGTCTCTTTTGATAAAATTTTTATGTACAGCGCGGTGAGCCCAGCCCTATGCTGGGGTACCGCGCTATATAAGACCTCTTATTATTTTTATTATTTCAAAAGGAATTACAGTTCAAGCACAAGCTGGGGAGGGAACATAATATATTCAAGACAAAGCTTAAAGATGGATGTGTGTGGCGGCTACCACAAGTAGGTGTCTGTGATATGAAATTATGTACCTCTATCGCAAGTAGAAAAATTCTTGTTTCTCGGCGGAACTAAATTTGATGTAAAATGACAATATCAATGCTGCTGTTTCATTTCCAACATAAAACCATTTTTAGTGAAGTAAATTTTCTTTGTACACCATATCAATATTGTATTGTTATGCCTGCACTCTTGATGAAAAGAAAATGTACTGAAGATGAAGGGATGATAAGGTTTCTATGATAAGGTTTTTAAGATGTAGGAGATGATAAGGTTTTTAAGATGAAGGTGATGATAAGGTTTTAAGATGTAAGGGATGATAAGGTTTCTAAGATATTTTGGATGATGAGGTTTCTAAGATATAGGGGATGATAAGGTTTCTCATTTGTAGTGGATGACAGACCTGCCAACCCTTCCGATTTTGTCGGAATTATACTTTTTTTGTACCCCTCATTCTGACCTTCCAACAAACCCCTTAAAATTCAGATTTTTCTAACTTTATAATTTTTCACCCGTCATACAAAGCCGAAAGCTACAAAAAAAAAAAATTAATAAAAAATATCGGGTACGACAGGAAGTGTTGCTTTGTTTTTACGAAGTGTCTACATGTCCGGCGACCGGAGGAATAAGTGAATAAGTTCTCGAGATATTCGTCCGGCATTTATTTGACCAAATGACATGACCACTGTTACAAAGTTTCGCAATATATTTGTCTGTCAGCCTTGTCATGTGACCGCTAATTGTCTATCAGAGTATACGGTACTTCATTTCACCATATTCAAGATAGTCTGGGCATGTAAACGAAAAAGAAATATCTTCAATTCTAAAAAAGAAATACTAGACCCAAAAATAATGAACAATTGTTTAAAAAGTGACAATGTTATTTATAAAGCGTGGCACGCCCGCCGGATAAATATCTTCCGCCTTTTTTGTCCGGTTGCCTGACGTGTAGACACTGCCTTGTTTTTATCGAAGCGAACCGTGATCTTCAAATCATTCTTCAATCATCAATTGATCAGATTGCGTTTCATCTGTTTTACAAGGCAAATAAATAATTTCGACTTTTTTTGTTTTTGTTAAAGCTTTTCTTAATTAAATGGTTAAATCTATTGAAAGTGATGGGTACAATGATATTAATAAACATTGAAGGAAATATTTCTCTAGCCAACTCCGATCGTTTTAATTTTAATGCCAGAGTCAAAGAAATGTTTCAAGAATTGCAGAATGCTAGAAGATTGTAAAGAAAAATTACAATGAAACAAGGGCAAGCTTGAAAGTTGATACTTTTTCTAACTTGCTGGTAACTAAAATCAATTGCAATGCTAACCTTCAGTTGTCTAAAGAGCTGTTGGACAAGTACAAAAAGGCCAATAGGGATATGCTGGGATACAGAACTCTTACTAAGAGTCTTAGCAGCCTGTCTGTGTGTTAATATGTAAATAAAATGGATCTTCTGTTCTGTACTGTATATATCTGTATATAAAAATGTCCATTAATGTTTACCTCATGTTCTGTGGTGTTCAATGGACCGTTCAAGGACAATGGAGGTAACTTTATGTTTCTTTATTTACTTAAAAAATGTTTGCGTATTAGTATATAGATCTTACACCAACCCCCCACGGGGTGCCTTTCCTGGGGGGAGCGGCCCCACTTCCCCCCTGCGTGCAACCCCCCCTACAGATTTTGTTTTCTTGGCAGGTTGGCAGGTCTGGGATGATAAGGTTTCTAAGATGTTGGGGCTGATAAGGTTTCTTATTTGTAGGGGATGACAATTGTTAACTTTGTGAAATGTGTTGCTCTTGGGTGTTTCAGATTAAATTATGTCACAATTACTTTGTTCAGGTTCGTGATACTGGAAATCATTTGTGCAATGCACTGGAAATCGTTTCTAGAAACGATGCAAGCTACGTGTACAAGTCGGTCAAGGAAGTTTTCCTTGTGAGTATACATCTTTTTGTGTTGTTCTCCCTGGTCACTAAATTTGCTTAAAAAATCATTTTACTGTTAGAGTGAAATTTACAATAAAATGGTAGAAAAGTTAGGTAATTTTTTAATGAGGAGAGGAAAGTCTTGTGATGTTCCAGGTAATGTTACTCTATGAACAATATTCCAGTTATTGACATTGCTCTATGTTTAAATGTAAAAGAGATCTTCTTAAATAACTGAATAATCCCCAATGGCAAGGGAGATAACTGACATTTTGTCTATTTATAACTTTTGTAAACATTGTATGCAGGCAGCTCTCAGTTTCCCATGCCAATTAAAACACTCACTGTAACTGTAACCAAGATCACAATTTATGGATTTTAGTCATATATTTTATCAGTGTGGTCATTTTTTTACTTATTTTAGGTTAGAATATTTTCAATTTTATTTTAGGTTAGAATATTTTAAACTTTATTTTAGGTTAGAATATTTTCAATTTTATTTTAGGTTAGAATATTTTCAACTTTATTTTAGGTTAGAATATTTTCAATTTTATTTTAGGTTAGAATATTTTCAACTTTATTTTAGGTTAGAATATTTTCAATTTTATTTTAGCTTAGAATATTTTCAACTTTATTTTAGGGTAGAATATTTTCAACTTTACGGTAGATTTGTAGCATATAGTTGAGTCAAATCGTACACATTTCATGTTGAATATAATGCCTTTAAATGTAAGAATGATAGCTAAGAATACACATAGGATTGCATGGACAGCGCAAATTGTGCATATTTAGGAGATTGGACCCACAAAAGGAACTGAGATATAAAACTAAAGTCCTCTTTGAACAAAGCTCGTTTGCAAATGGAGAGCTGCCAGGAGTTATGAAATTATTCTTTGATAAGCCGCTGGCAAGTGTTCACATGGGCGATAAATGGATATTTTATTTTTATAACTAAATGCAAACTAAACTAGATGTTTATCTATTGTTATTTACGAGACAGTTACTTGATGAGTTGATGGAGAGTCTCATGAAGTGCAGACAAAGTTTGTCTCTACCGAAACGTAAATCAATCAACGAACTTATGGAAAACCAAAACTTGGTGAGTCAAGTTTTCTTTGTGTTGGCTTCTCTTGCTCTGTTGTCTGCAGGTTTTTTACAAGTTGATTTCAGGGGTTCATAACCAGGGTTGCTCACACCCCCGTGTGGGCGTGGGAAGACCCTCCTTTATTTGCATTTTAAAAATTAAAATAAAATGGGGCAGCGGGGATATTTTAAAAATCGAGAGGGGTGTGCAGAGCTTAAAAAGGTTGAGAATCCTTGTACTCAATAAACTCCCTAGACCTGTGACAAGATGTTTGTAAACTCTGGATTTTTGGAAGATGTAATGCTGTGAAGCTGTTTTTTTTATATGTATGATATCAAACACAGACTAATCAAGAAAGCTAGAAACATCACATAAACTAAACATCTTTCACTTGAACTATTTGAAGAAAGATGTTATTGTAAAACTAAACAAATTTTGGATGATACATCGCACTCTCTTCATCACAGATACTTAAGATCGGCCCATTCGGGAGGAATTCTTTCTCTCAAGGCGAGGACTGAAAGATATAAAAATTCTTTTGTTCCCCAATCTGTACGAATTTACCAGCGTGCTCCTCCTGAAGTCACAAATCTAATTGATCACTAATTAAGTCCCTGTTATGAACTTAGGGGGTTCACTGCAAGGCTGTTTTCAACACTAGGGAAACCATTTTATCGAGTCTAGATGTCTTGTGTTTAAATTGTTATAAGTTGGAAAATGTGACTAAAATATCTATTCATTGATGTACTGAAAATGTATAGTCTGTGTACAATGTCATCAAAAAAAAACTTTTCCAGTTGTTTGGATTAATAAAAGAATCTTATCTATGTTATGAGGTTCTTATTGCATAGTACGCAGCTGACATTGTAAATATAAGTTAAGGAGTACAAAAAGTAAAAATTGTTTCAATTCTTAAGAGTTAAGCTAACAAAAATGTTGATGACTTTTATAACATTTCAAACAGGAATATTTGGATCTTCATTTTATTTGACCCCCATTTAACCTAAAAGCTATTAATACCATAATTCTTTTTTTCCCCAGCTGGTTTTTAACCCAGCTTTGCCGAGTGATATTGCAATTTCCTTCTACATCCACACATCGAAACTTGTCCTTGCCCTCTACTGCCTTCACCAAAACGGACAGCACAAGCTAGAAAAAGTGGAGATAACTCATAGAATACAGGTATTTCCTCCTTCTGGTGATTAAGGCCCATCTCTTATATCATCTTCTTCCCTTCATGGTGTTGCACCCTATACAATTTAAAGACTTTCCTCTTCATAGGTATTTATGAGCAAGTTTATCTAACTGAAAACTGTCATTGTTTCCGGCTTGCTTGGAACTATCCAAACTTAGTTAAGTTTTCAATCAGCCATTAATAAACAGTATGATTTTGTTCCCTTGGCCATTAAAGATCATTATGACTAATCTGGGTGCTCTGTACTTTGCTGTGTTTCCAGGTTGAAGCAATGGTCAAGTGGCTGAACGAAGCCATCATCTTTTTCACCCTCTCCTTACAGCAATGTCAACAACTGAAAGACAAGGTGGGTGACCTCATTTCATCTATATCAAATATGGCTTCTCGGGAGGAAGCGTGAATTTAATAAACGTCTTCTCCAAATAAAAAACAGCTTTTTTTTGTCAACCTCTCACTTCTCCAAATAAAAACAGCTGTTTTTATCATCCTCTCACTTCTCTATATAAAAACAGCTGTCCTGTGTCAGCCTTTAAGCTTTAAGTAAGCATCATAGTGTCAAAGGATGACCATTTTGTTGCACACCACAGCAATAACTCGTCAACATAGTCTGGGAACATAGATGACTGCATTCTGCTGAAAGTAAATTTAGCAATCTTAGAAGTCTTGGACTAAACAAGTAAATTGATGCTTTAGTTATGTCATTGCCGGGTACTACAAATCTGTCACATTTTATAATTTAATACCTTTTCAGTAGTGGGTAGCTTTGGAGAGATCCGATACCTTGCTTTTTTTTTTTTGGTCGCCGTGCAGCTCTTTAAATCATTACCTGTTGTTTCTTAACCCTCAAACTGTGGCCGAAATCGGCCGATATTCTGGTTCTGTGCTGTGGCGGCCCAAAAAATCGGCAGATTAAAAACACGGTCCGATAGCAACTTCCAATCCAATATTTAACCGGAATTATAGCCGCTTCCTTTTATTAATAATTAAATCATCTTCCGGTTCAAGCTGTTTCTTGATAACTTAAAAATAAATGCTTTTTAATCAAATTTTTATAATGCTGTTTTTTTTAAAGCTAAAATGGTTGAAGCCATGGCTGGGCCTTCAGTGTGAGAACTAATAGAAATATTTTTGAAAGCGTTTTAGGAGAGAATTTAAGTGATACTGATGATGATTTTAACATTCCCCATGACGATATCAGTTGAGATTATTCTTCTCGTAAATCTTATACTAGTCTTTGTGATACTGAAGTAGGCCTACTGAGGCTACTGTTAGACTTCGAGCCAGGCCCGGAGGTTGGGCAAGGACTGACTGAATTTTAGTCACAGAGGCTACAAATTATAGATCAGAACTAATAAATTTTATAGTTAAACAACCCAAATCAGTTCAAAAGTTCCTTTTTAAATGTTTACTAGTCAATAATAACTATTTTGCCTGAGATTTTGTACTTGGTTTTAGTTTTAGCAGTGGTCCCAGTTTCTTATATAAATGACTAAAATTACTAAAATTGTTTTCAGAGGTTTAATTGCAATCAAAACCTTAACCAAATATACATTTTCTTAAAGAAAAATGAATTGGCTACAACATTTAGATTGTGTTTTAAGTTTATCTATACAAATTAATGATGTTATGAGCACTTGAAAGCAAGACATTTTGTTGATTTTTTTTTCTTGAGAACTCCAAGGTTAAGGACACTAGGCAAAGTTTGTTTACATGGTGGGCAATATGGCCAACTTTATCCCCATCCATTTACCTTTCTAAAAATATATTCTTCTGGAGTCTTCAATCAATATTTCTATGTCATTTAATGCAATTTCAAATGGCACCCAAAAAGCTCTGAAAAGCTCCCACACCACAGAATGATGCATGCCACAGTTCGAGGGTTAAACCTGTCATAGCCATAAAAAAATTACCTTCAGCACCAAGTAAAGGGAAATAATGCCATCTTGATCATAAGCATGTATTAAAAAATTACCTTCAGCTCCAAGTAAAGGGAAATAACCCCATTTCGACCATAATCACATAATTAGTTGCTGGCTTAAAAATTTATTTTGCTGATAGTTATAGAAGAAATGTGAAATTTTAATTGAATAAGTCTACATTAGGACCAGTTCCACCTGCAATTTCTTGAAAGTCAGGTGAAGACATATGGTCAGACCAATCAGATCTGTTAACATCGTCTTCATCTTCTGATCCTTCTTGGGCATCAAGATGTTTAGTTCATTATTACTTTTCTTTCCACTATCTTATTTCTTGACCTATTTCTGCATCAGTTTCATTACTTTCAACATTTGCAGTTTGAAGCGATTCTGGAAAGGCAAACACCATAAAGTGTAGGACTATTGTCAATAAAACAATATTTAAAAAAAAAATCATAAGGAGGTTAAAGTCAAGCCCACAGGCACCAAACACAAACAAAACAAGAGATGAATACTTCCTGTTCACAAATAGGCCTTTTGTAACTGCTTACTTGAGGAGATACCATCACTAGGCAATGTTGAAAATGGTGTATTGTTAATGGCGGGATTAATCATAACGGGACAGAGGTGTAAAGGCCTGAAGGCCATAAAGCCACTGGAATGGTTAATTTCTTTATGCAAGTCATCAGACTAATAGGCCTGTAGTGTTCCAGTAAGACTAGTATTTAACAATCTCTATGACATGTGTACTTTTTTCTACCTGGCCCTTTTATATGTTGTAGGCCTTACATTAATTTCCTAAGTAAATTCTCTTTTTTTCCCCACCAGTTGATGGCAGTCTCACAGATTCTAGAAGATCCTTGACCTTCTGTTGACCTCTTCCCATTCATTGTGTTAGAGATTAAAGTAGAACCTTATTAACAATTCATTTAGCATATTATCAAATAAAGGAACTTTTTCTTAGCCAATGGAATAGGTAGGTCACATAAGTGTGAATTGTGTTGGGAAATTTGATGTGAGTTGGCAAGTAAGTGTACGAACATGTGTGGACATATTTTTATATAATTCATCCAGGGTAGAAAATAACTGAAATGCAATCACTGCAACCCTTGACTGAAATAATGAGATCCACTGTTCAGTTTGATCATTATTTGAATGAATATTTCATTGAATTGTTGATATGAGGCCTTTAAAAGAATTAACAAGGACTGTATGCCATTGTTTACATTGTAAAAATATTTGACAGTTTCAGCGTAAGTGTACATTGTTGGAAATGGGTTTTATCATCTGTAGCCTTCTTGTACATTTAATTAAACAATTTTTTGTTTGAAAAGTATAAATGTTTGAGATTGTATGTGCAGTGCAGTGTTACAAAAGCATAAATGTTTGAGCTCGTATGTACAGTGCAGTGTTACAAAAGCATAATTGTTTGAACTTGTATGTGCACTGCAGTGTTACAAAAGCATAATTGTTTGAGCTTGTATGTGCACTGCAGTGTTATGAAAGCATAATTATTTGAGCTTGTATGTGCACTGCAGTGTTATGAAAGCATAATTATTTGAGCTTGTATGGGCACTGCAGTGCTACACAAGGAAGAACTGTGATGTGACTTGAGTTTTTTGCCTGCCTTCATTTTTCATACAGAATCTTAATAACTGTTAACAAAATCATTTATCTACTGCGACACAGGGTACAGCATAGTACAATATTTTTAAAAATCTCAGTTGAACTAGGTCTCAAAGACTTCATTAAACCAGGTCTAAAAGGCATAATTTTGGCCAGGTCTCATATTAATCAGTTGAACTGGGTCAAAAAGCCTCAACTTTGCTAGGTCCACAAGGATTAATTTTAGCCAGATTTAAAAGACTCAGTTTAGCCAGATTTAAAAGACTCAGTTTAGCCAAGTCTAAAAGACCAAGTTGAACCAGATCTGTTAACAACATGCAGCATCTTTGTAAACATGAGTTTTCCCTGTGCTAAACAAATCTGTGTTGATCCTGTAAGAATGTCGCAGCAGGCATTGTACAAAAAGCATAATTCACAGGTTTAAGATAACAATCAAATGGAATACTTCTATAAAAAGGACGAACATCTAGTTATCCTTTAATATATTGGTTTTAAACTGTCGCTGCTTTTCTTTTACGAGGTTTCTGTAATATGCAAATGAAAAAAAAAAAGACTATGGCAGAATATTGGATATGAATTGATTTTTTATTTAAAAAATTGTTAAAGTTGTTCATGTTTTCTAAAAAGTTCAATTTTTGTCATTTTTAGGTAAAAGTAGTTTTTGTTGAACAAAACATGCAGGGCGAACAAAATATGCCTTTTTCCATGCCAGAAAAGTCTTGAAACTTTAAAGAATTTTTTTTCCTTGTACTGTGTCCAATTTTTTTTAGTGTTTGCACAATGTGTAATTAACTGAGTCCATGTTTATGCTGCCTGTCAGCTGTGTTTACTGAGTCCATGTTTGTGCTGCCTGTCAGCTGTGTTTAATGAGTGCATGTCTGTGCTGTCTGTCAGCTGTGTTTCAATGAGTGCATGTTTGTGCTGTCAGCTGAGTTTACTGAGTCCATGTTTGTGCTGTCTGTCAGCTGTGTTTACTGAGTTCATGTTTGTGCTGTCTGTCAGCTGTGTTTACTGAGTCCATGTTTCTGCTGTCTGTCAGCTGTGTTTACTGAGTCCATGTTTGTGCTGTCTGTCAGCTGTGTTTTAATGAGTGAAGTTTGTGCTGTCTGTCAGCTGTGTTTTAATGAGTGAAGTTTGTGCTGTCTGTCAGCTGTGTTTACTGAGTTCATGTTTGTGCTGTCAGTCAGCTGTGTTTTAATGAGTGCATGTTTGTGAGCTGTGTTTCAATGAGTGCATGTTTGTGCTGTCAGCTGTGTTTACTGAGTCCATGTTTGTGCTGTCTGTCAGCTGTGTTTACTGAGTTCATGTTTGTGCTGTCTGTCAGCTGTGTTTTAATGAGTGAAGTTTGTGCTGTCTTTCAGCTGTGTTTTAATGAGTGAAGTTTGTGCTGTCTGTCAGCTGTGTTTACTGAGTTCATGTTTGTGCTGTCTGTCAGCTGTGTTTACTGAGTCCATGTTTGTGCTGTCTGTCAGCTGTGTTTTAATGAGTGAAGTTTGTGCTGTCTGTCAGCTGTGATTACTGAGTCCATGTTTGTGCTGTCTGTCAGCTGTGTTTTAATGAGTGCATGTTTGTGCTGTGTGTCAGCTGTGTTTTAATGAGTGCATGTTTGTGCTGTCTGTCAGCTGTGCCTTAAAGTTGGGATCACCAAGAGTTACATATTCAATGTCTATCATCTTTGTAACATATCAGAATACATGGAATGAATCTTAACATTGAGTGGGCGTTGTTTTCATGTATTGGTTACCAGGGGATATACATGAGGTGAAGGATGTTGACCACTGCCCCTTTCCTTGCCCCCTGCCACACCCACCTTGTGATTGTTTTTATGCATTGGTTACCAGGGGATATACATGAGATGATGGATGTTGACCACTCCCCCTTTCTTTGCCCCCTGCCACACCCACCTTGTGATTGTTTTCATGTATTGGTTACCAGGGAATATACATGAGATGAAGGATGTTGACCACTCCCCCTTTCCTTGCCCCTGCCACACCCACCTTGTGGTGACAGTTAATTATGTTTGTTAAATAAATGCTATAATTTCATCTATCTGTGTTGAGACCATGAAATTGTGATGTGGGAGGAAGTGTTTGTGATGGAACACAAACACATGAGTTCTCAGTTTGTGATCTTGGTATTTCCCGAGTTCATTTATTTTGGATTGCAACCATTCACAATTCGATTTTTCTAACAAGTGTATTTTTTGTGTATTATTGAATTATGTTTAAATTATTATGTTTATAAATTCTCATTAGCTTGTAGTTAAAGAAACAAAAATCGCTTTATTCGTTTAATCAAAATCTGTTTATTTATTTCCCCCGGGGGGTGAGGCATTAGTTCCACCCACCCCAACTTTCACCTGGACATTCTTACATAGAACTATGCTCAATATATTGACAAATCAGTTACACGTTTAAATTGTTAAAAGATTTTTTTAAATAACAAATATGTTGAAAACTCTACATAATTTATGGTATAGCATAATGACACCCATGCCCACATGATGAGTAGATATTCAAAGTTAAACTGCCACCTAACATAGAGGTTCTCAACATTTTAACAGGATAGAAAAACACATTATAGAGATACCATTTAGAGGGAAACTGAATTTTGAGAATGAGATTTTCTTACATTTTGATTAAACTAAATTATAGAAACTAACAGAAATGTGTTCTCCTTTATGATGGATATTAAATAGGTTGAGAGCCTGACCTACACAGTCTTTGAATTAGCTTGAGGAGAAGTTTCCAAGCTTTTTGTTTCTTTTGTTAATTTCAGATCAAAATTCTTTTTTTTTAATAAGACAAAGTAATCAAGTAAGTGTAAGTCCTTTACAAAATAATACTGCAATATTTCCTTCCTTAAAAAGAAACAACAAAAAAACTCCAATTACTATGAATAGATATTATCTCTTATTACAAGATTAGAAATGGCAGGAAGGAAATATTTGAACAGTTTGAAAGTTCGTGATTTGAACATAAGTATTCCTGAATATGACGTCATTTTTCCAACTGGGCTGGGTCAACAATAACTAGTATGCTATGACGACTTGATGTCGACAGACGTTTGAGAGATCGTGAGGTTACCATCTCACTTCCGGTAAAGACAGTGAAACATTCCCTCTTTTAAAGAACAACTCTTTTATTCTTTTTAAATGATGAGTTGTATTTGGACCACTTTATAACTTGAAGGAACAGTGTATGTATCATGTAAAGTATATTAATGTACACTAGAGCAGCATACTGATGTAATTACTAATGACTAATATAATGGCTTGTTATTCCCGATAAAATTCAAATGCATGTTCTTGGTATTTGAACCAGTTCCTCCAATCAGATGCGTTATAATAAATTATGATAATACTTTTGTTCTTTATAATAAATGAAACAAGTGCATCATTGAATTGTTCAGCCATTTCCGTTATTTTAAATATATTTACGTTTGTAATATGTGTGTGTGTGCATAAAAAAGTATGATTTGTTCTGGAAAGTAGGTGGCCTCGATATTGTAAATAGCTTTTGAGTGCAGTGCTTGTTTGGGAGGCGTCTTGGTCCATTTTCTGGTAGGCTATGGAGTGGGTAGGAGACATTTTGGTCCATTTTCTGGTAGGTTACGGAGTGGGTAAGAGACATCTTGGTCCATTTTCTGGTAGGTTACGGAGTGGGTAGGAGACATCTTGATCCATTTTCTGGTAGGTTACTGAGTGGGTAGGAGACATTTGGTCCATTTTCTGGTAGGTTAGGGAGTGGGTAGGAGGCGTTTTCGTCTATTTTCTGGTAGGTTACGGAGTGGGTAGGAAGCATCTTGGTCCATTTTGTGGTAGGTTAGTTAGTGGGTAGGAGGCGTCTTGGTCTATTTTCTGGTAGGTTAGGGAGTGGGTAGGAGGCGTCTTGGTCTATTTTCTGGTAGGTTACGGAGTGGGTAGGAAGCATCTTGGTCCATTTTGTGGTAGGTTAGTGAGTGGGTAGGAGGCGTCTTGGTCTATTTTCTGGTAGGTTACGGAGTGGGTAGGAGGCGTCTTGGTCCATTTTGTGGTAGGTTACGGAATGTGTGGGAGGCGTCTTGGTCCATTTTCTGGTAGGTTACGGAGTGGGTAAGGGGCGCCTTGGTCCATTTTCTGGTAGGTTACGGAGTGTGTAGGGGGCGCCTTGGTCCATTTTCTGGTAGGTTACGGAATGGGTAGGAGGTGTCTTGGTCCATTTTCTGGTAGGTTACGAAGTGGGTAGGAGGTGTCTTGGTCCATTTTCTGGTATGTTACGAATTGGGTAGGAGGCGTCTTGGTCTATTTTCTGGTAGGCTACGGAGTGGGTAGGGGGTGCCTTGGTCCATTTTCTGGTAGGTTACGCAGTAGGTAGGAGGTGTCTTGGTCCATTTTCTGGTAGGCTACGGAGTGGGTAGGAGACATCTTGGTCCATTTTCTGGTAGGTTACGGAGTGGGTAAGGAGCGCCTTGGTCCATTTTCTGGTAGGTTACGGAGTGGGTAGGGGGCGCCTTGGTCCATTTTCTGGTAGGTTATGGAGTGGGTAGGAGGCATCTTGGTCCATTTTCTGGTAGGTTACGGAGTGGGTAGGAGACATCTTGTTCCATTTTCTGGTAGGTTACGGAGTGGGTAGGAGGCGTCTTTGTCCATTTTGTGGTAGGTTACGGAATGTGTGGGAGGCGTCTTGGTCCATTTTCTGGTAGGTTACGGAGTGGGTAGGAGACATCTTGGTCCATTTTCTGGTAGGTTACGGAGTGGGTAGGAGACATCTTGGTCCATTTTCTGGTAGGTTATGGAGTGGGTAGGAGGCGTCTTGGTCCATTTTCTGGTAGGTTACGGAGTGGGTAGGAGGCGTCTTGGTCCATTTTCTGGTAGGTTACGGAGTGGGTAGGGGGCGCCTTGGTCCATTTTCTGGTGGGTTACGGAGTGGGTAGGGGGCACCTTGGTCCATTTTCTGGTAGGTTACGGAGTGGGTAGGAGGCGCCTTGGTCTATCCTGGTAGGCTAGTGAGTGGGTAGGAGGCGCCTTGGTCTATCCTTGTAGGCTAGTGAGTGGGTAGGAGGCGCCTTGGTCTATCCTAGTAGGCTAGTGAGTGGGTAGGAGGCGCCTTGGTCTATTATCTGGTAGGCTAGTGAGTGGGTAGGAGGCGTCTTGGTCTATCCTGGTAGGCTAGTGAGTGGGTAGGAGGCGCCTTGGTCTATTATCTGGTACGCTAGTGAGTGGGCAGGGGACGCCTTGGTCTATCCTGGTAGGCTAGGGAGTGGGTAGGAGGCGCTCTGGTCTATTATCTGGTAGGCTAGTGAGTGGGTAGGAGGCGCCTTGGTCTATTATCTGGTAGGCTAGTGAGTGGGTAGGAGGCGCCTTGGTCTATTATCTGGTAGGCTAGTGAGTGGGTAGGAGGCGCCTTGGTCTATTATCTGGTAGGCTAGTGAGTGGGTAGGAGGCGCCTTGGTCTATTATCTGGTAGGCTAGTGAGTGGGTAGGAGGCGCCTTGGTCTATTATCTGGTAGGCTAGTGAGTGGGTAGGAGGCGCCTTGGTCTATTATCTGGTAGGCTAGTGAGTGGGTAGGAGGCGCCTTGGTCTATTATCTGGTAGGCTAGTGAGTGGGTAGGAGGCGCCTTGGTCTATTATCTGGTAGGCTAGTGAGTGGGTAGGAGGCGCCTTGGTCTATTATCTGGTAGGCTAGTGAGTGGGTAGGAGGCGCCTTGGTCTATTATCTGGTAGGCTAGTGAGTGGGTAGGAGGCGCCTTGGTCTATTATCTGGTAGGCTAGTGAGTGGGTAGGAGGCGCCTTGGTCTATTATCTGGTAGGCTAGTGAGTGGGTAGGAGGCGCCTTGGTCTATTATCTGGTAGGCTAGTGAGTGGGTAGGAGGCGCCTTGGTCTATTATCAGGTAGATTAGTAAATGGGTAGCAGGCGCCTTGGTCTATTTTCTGGTAGGTTACGGAGTGGGTAGGAGGCGCCTTGGTCTATCCTGGTAGGCTAGTGAGTGGGTAGGAGGCGCCTTGGTCTATCCTGGTATGCTAGTGAGTGGGTAGGAGGCGCCTTGGTCTATTATCTGATAGGCCAGTGAGTGGGTAAGAGGCGCCTTGGTCTATTATCTGGTAGGCTAGTGAGTGGGTAGGAGGCGCCTTGGTCTATTATCTGATAGGCCAGTGAGTGGGTAAGAGGCGCCTTGGTCTATTATCTGGTAGGCTAGTGAGTGGGTAGGAGGCGCCTTGGTCTATTATCTGGTAGGCCAGTGAGTGGGTAGGAGGCGCCTTGGTCTATTATCTGGTAGGCCAGTGAGTGGGTAAGAGGCGCCTTGGTCTATTATCTGATAGGCCAGTGAGTGGGTAAGAGGCGCCTTGGTCTATTATCTGGTAGGCTAGTGAGTGGGTAGGAGGCGCCTTGGTCTATTATCTGGTAGGCTAGTGAGTGGGTAGGAGGCGCCTTGGTCTATTATCTGGTAGGCTAGTGAATGGGTAGGAGGCGCTTTGGTCTATTATCTGGTAGGCTAGTGAGTGGGTAGGAGGCGCCTTGGTCTATTATCTGGTAGGCTAGTGAGTGGGTAGGAGGCGCCTTGGTCTATTATCTGGTAGGCTAGTGAGTGGGTAGGAGGCGCCTTGGTCTATTATCTGGTAGGCTAGTGAGTGGGTAGGAGGCGCCTTGGTCTATTATCTGGTAGGCTAGTGAGTGGGTAGGAGGCGCCTTGGTCTATTATCTGGTAGGCTAGTGAGTGGGTAGGAGGCGCCTTGGTCTATTATCTGGTAGGCTAGTGAGTGGGTAGGAGGCGCCTTGGTCTATTATCTGGTAGGCTAGTGAGTGGGTAGGAGGCGCCTTGGTCTATTATCTGGTAGGCTAGTGAGTGGGTAGGAGGCGCCTTGGTCTATTATCTGGTAGGCTAGTGAGTGGGTAGGAGGCGCCTTGGTCTATTATCTGGTAGGCTAGTGAGTGGGTAGGAGGCGCCTTGGTCTATTATCTGGTAGGCTAGTGAGTGGGTAGGAGGCGCCTTGGTCTATTATCTGGTAGGCTAGTGAGTGGGTAGGAGGCGCCTTGGTCTATTATCTGGTAGGCTAGTGAGTGGGTAGGAGGCGCCTTGGTCTATTATCTGGTAGGCTAGTGAGTGGGTAGGAGGCGCCTTGGTCTATTATCTGGTAGGCTAGTGAGTGGGTAGGAGGCGCCTTGGTCTATTATCTGGTAGGCTAGTGAGTGGGTAGGAGGCGCCTTGGTCTATTATCTGGTAGGCTAGTGAGTGGGTAGGAGGCGCCTTGGTCTATTATCTGGTAGGCTAGTGAGTGGGTAGGAGGCGCCTTGGTCTATTATCTGGTAGGCTAGTGAGTGGGTAGGAGGCGCCTTGGTCTATTATCTGGTAGGCTAGTGAGTGGGTAGGAGGCGCCTTGGTCTATTATCTGGTAGGCTAGTGAGTGGGTAGGAGGCGCCTTGGTC